AACTGGTTAGCACACGTTAGTACCAGACCCAGCAGCCTCACTCGTATTAATGTGTGTGTGTGTGTGTGTGTGTGTGTGTGTGTGTGTGTGTGTGTGTGTGTGTGTAGCTGCTTTTCGCAACCTGGGCCAGAATCTGTGGGGTCCTCACCGCTACGGCTGCCTGAGTGATGTCCAGGTGAGCTGTGTGGTGGCTGGGCCCTGCGCTGCACACAGTCTGCTCATGACCACCGAGGGCAAGCTGTGGAGCTGGGGTAAGTACCATGCTGCACTCAGGTCACAACTATCTTCACACTGTACGCCAGTTTTTTTTATTTTGAGCAACGGTACATTTTTATAATTAAAGAAATCCTGCGTCGCACCAACAACAAAAAAGTGACTTAATGACACATCGTAGCTTAATACAGCATATATAACTATAATTGATAGACAAGTCTCTCGATTTGGCTACAAGTTCAGCTCCTAAGTAGCTTGGAGAGCTCTCTCTTTGTTTTTTTCCTCATGGAAGTTAACCATTTCTGAGTTTGTTCACGCAGGAGAACAAAATAGTCAGTGTTCTTGTTTTGAAGTGTAGCGTTTCGTTTGGAGTTAACTTTAAAGCTTGCTTAGCACCATGGAACTGTTGGATTTTATTTGCAGCTAAATAACTAAACTACTAACTAGGGATGCTCCGATCGATCGGCCACCGATCGAGATCGGCCGATACTCACGCTCTACCAATCGACCAGCGCTCTCTAATCATACCGTTCGGGAGAGCCGATCGCATGAAGTAAAATACATGACACTTTTCTCTGTGCGCGGCAAAACAAGCTTTCCAAAATGGCTTCACCAGTCTGGCATTATTTTAAGGTGTCTGAAAAAGACAGTAAAATAGCGGTATGCAACGTGTGTGAAGCAGAAATCCTGCAGCTCCACCCGCCGGACCAGTGAGCGGAGCGAAAGACACAAGAGTTAGACCTAACACACTTAGCTACTTTATCTACCTCTGGAACAAGCTAAATTATAAATATATTTATTCTTCACTGTCGGGTCACTCATTACTGGATCAGTGAGCTGCATGAGATACTGATTGGCTGTCAGGAGAGAGACAAAGGGGGAGGGAGGAAAAGAGAGCGCTTCCGCTCATTTCTCCTGTGTTATTATCCAAAGTGAATATAAACTTGAATAATGTACATCATTTGAATGTAATAATTAAGTTGATTGTTGTTTGTGGAAGTTCCAGTGAATGAGAACCCATTAACTGAGTTTTAAACATCACTTTAAATGGAAGATTTTAAAGTGATGTTTAAATCTTCCACTCAGGCCAATACTGATTCCGGCGATCGGCCCCAAAATTGGCGATCGGAGCATCCCTACTACTAACTAAATAATATTTTTGGACCAATAAAGTGAAGTTTCCCACGGCAGGAGTGGTTGAACAATCACTGGTGTAAGCCATAAACTGTATGACATTATACCGGGCAAACACGGCTGGGTCTGTAATTATGTAGATATGTATACAGGTTTATTTCTCAGAGTGTGTGTGTAGATTGGCAGAAGTTCTCCATCAGAGCTCTTGGTTTCTGTATTTGCAGGTCGTAATGAGAAAGGTCAGTTGGGTCACGGAGACACCAAGCGTCTGGAGGCTCCCAAGTTGATCGAGGCCCTGGCTGATCAGGTGATAGTTGCTGCAGCTTGTGGACGCAACCACACACTGGCACTCACAGGTAGCCGGAGCCACCATTCTTACAGGTTCCTTTTGATTGGTCATTGCTTGGAATGAAAACCGTCATACTCTGGACTTGTGATAATTCCACACAAAATTTGTTTGTTTGATATTTGACATCAACAGAAGTTATATTCAGGATTAACTGCTATGAAAAATATTGTGAACAGCAGCAGACAGAATGTGAGCGTTGATGTTTGCTGATGTTGTTCCTCCTCAGAGAATGGCACTGCATACTCTTTTGGTGAGAATAAGCTTGGTCAGCTCGGCCAAGGCAACCAGACTGATGCAGTGCTTAGCCCAGCACCGGTAAGCCAACACCGTCACACACACATTCGATAATCTATGATCTGAACTAGGGGTGGGCGATATTGAAAAATATAATATCACAATATTTTTCAAGCAGTATCACGATAGACGATATTTATCACGATATTTTTTCATGTCGGTTATTATGGTTATTTTTCAAGTTACTTAACAGTACAACCACCTACAAGGTAACAAAAACTAAAATAAAAAGGAGTAACAGACCAAAATACCATTTCAAGCTGGTTTTAATTCTGCAATGAATCCCTGAATGAACAATTCAACAGGAATTTTGATATGGCTTCCTCAGTGTTCAAGTATAGGCCTACACCCTACACAACAAACGTTAACACTGGTTTCTTCACCAAGTAAAGTGCACTCTCTTGCTGAATAAAATAAAATATTCAAGGCACAGTTTCTCAGTATAAAAATTAACTTTCTCTTTTAGGTAGCACTAGCAGTGATGTAACATCAATATACATGAAAAGGAGAGGGAAAAACTAAGTAAAACATCAATGAGGAAAAGTCAGTGCCAAACAATTAAAATGTAAACTTTAGACTTGAAGTGCAATCAAAGACTTTAACATAACTGAACATCTGTTTCAAAAGGGAAAAACAATATAAATACCTTATTGATATAAAATATAAGCCAACAGAATCAACCAAGACAATAAATGAAGTACAATACTGTCTGAATCCTGACTAGACAGCTTGGTTTTTACAACCATTATCAGTATTTAGCTACTTCGGCATCATTTTTGGAAACGTGTATTACAATTAAATCACGGTAAAATAGGTTAATTTTTGTCCGTAGTTGGTTTCCACCACAGTATTTACATGGA